TATTTCAGAAATGAGTCAGAACCGTGTTTTGCTAGAAGAATGCTAATGAAACGCCGAGCAGATATTCATGAAACTGACAACACGCCCTTGGAAAGAAAATCGCTCTTATGAGACATCGAACTTGAGCAAAACATCCATGTCCTTGATTAAAGTATGAAGGACCGGCTCCTGCTCTGGCAGCCTAAGCCCCACTGTAACCTCGCGTGACACTGAGAGAGCACCTCCTCCTGGTCGTCTGAAACAGGGCGCTCACCTCTGGAGTTCGCTGTAGACCCTGGAGAAGGGCCTCAGAAGTCTCTGGCCCAGGCAGCAAAGAGCCATCTCCGCGTCCACACCAGGACTCACCCCTGGGACCCACATGGACACGGTGTGTACGGCACCCTGACGCTGGCAGAGGAAGGGTGCACGGCCTAAGGAAAACCGGGCTAGTTGTGAAGCTTGAGCATGACAACAAACTTCCTAATTCCTGACTGTTATAAATTAACCAAATGGTAGCTTATTTGCAATTCATATCAGCGCCCACTGGCGTTTCTGTAGATGGCTTTCCCCTGTTGGGGAGCGATCTGCTAATGCGACCCCATGTCAGACACAGCTCCGCTCCGAAGCCCTAGGCTCACTGTCACAGACCTGGTGTGGCCCACGCTGCCGCTCTGACAGTGTCTCCGCTCTCAGTCCTGCCTTCATCCCTCCTGAGGGTTCTCTGTGGCCGTGAATGAGGAGGATGCTTCATGTGAAAGAGGGTCCGGTGGACAGGAATCCAGAGAGGTGCCTTCACCAAACCATGCCCAGAACTCTGGGTCCGAGGCTGGGGTGACTCCTTCCGGAATCCAGAGGCCGGCCCTCCGAGGGCTCAGCCCACGCGCACCTCTCGCTTCCCTGGAGCTTCTTGCAGGAGACGCCATGCAGGCTTTCAGCGACAGCAAGTCATTCAAAACAAGGGTATAGGTGGGTGTGAGTGCTGGGAATTTATTTTTTAAACTTCATGAAATGATTTGATTTTCCTTAAAATCATAATCATTGTGATTACGTTTAAGCAAAACAAGATTCTTATATTTTAAAGATGTATCCTGAAATATTTACAGATAAAATGATACAATGTTTGGGATTTTTCTCTTTAAAAAGCCCAAAGGGTGGCAAGATGGGGTTATTGATGTAACAAAATTGACTATAAGTTGATCACTGTTGAAACCAGGTGATGGATATGGGGGTTTATTAGAGTATTCTCTCTATTTTTATATATTTTGAGATTTTTCTATGAAAAAGTTAAAAATTAAATAATGTAAGAGATAATGAAGGTCTCCCCCTATCTTATCAGACAGTTATCTAGTTTGAGGCTCCGCTTCCTTTAACTCTTTAAATCTGTTGGCAGATATCTAAATCACCAAGTTTTTGTCTTACAAAAAGGAAACCACAGTTACAGCCTTCTCCTCTCCTCTCCTCTCCGCTCCCCCCTCCCCTCCTCTCCGCTCTTGTTCCTTCCTTCCCCTTCCCTCCTCTTCCCTCCCCTGTCTCCCCTCCTCTCCTCTCCCGTCTTCTCTGCTCTGCCTTCTCCTCAGGGATTTCAGGAGAGGCACAGGCCACAGTGATCCCATTCAGCAGACACACCCCAGAAATACTGAAGTCACCCTCACACCCAAACCGCTGATCACCGTGCCCCTGCGGACACACTGCCACACAAAACAGCCAGGCCTCCACCTTCAAAAACACCCTTTAAAGAAACAATCACAATAGCTTGACTGAGAAATATTTCTCTTGAATGAGAAATAAAACCTGGTGCTACTGAGAGACACAGGAAGAGCTCTCGTGTGTCTGCCACCTGCTCACACTGACGGTCCGTCCCTCCCTCCTTGAGGGCAGGACAGGGCGGGGTCTGGACACAGCAGGTGCCCTAAGTGTGAGCGAAATTGAACGGAACTGCCAGCTGCACACACAGACGGGTGGGCTCTCTGTGGCACCTTCGTATGCCCACTGCACCCTTCCCACTGTCAAAGGCGGGTCCCTAAAACAAATGGACACAGATGAAGAGAATCTATTCACTGGATTAAGAAAAATAACAAACAACCCATTCCTGAAGGATCAAACTCTCAGAACGAAGAGGAAGATCAAGCGCTCTGCCTGGGAAAGGGATGGTGTCTCTTTAAGACATTTGCCCAATTGTAATAGCCTCGTAGGTAGACAAGGGTAACGGTGGGGGGAGGGGGAGGGTGGCTTGATGCAAAAACAAGGGAGGAGAGGTAATGCCAGCTGATGTGAACATGACCTTGGCCGTGCCCGGTGTCCCCCCTCAGCCCCCCTGTGATCCCCCCCCTCACCCGTTGAGCACTGCACTCAACTGCTCTCTTCAGAAATGTTGTGAACTCCACTTTGTGAAAAGAATTATGTCTTGAACACCTGACTGGGATTTTGCTTAAAGGAAGTCTGTGCTAGTTCCCTTAGAGAACGTCTGGGGTTGTCTGTGTGACCTGAGGCAGGTTGCCCAACCTCTCCATGCGCCAGTGCCCCCATATATGAGACAGGAATAAGGGGCCTCCTCCGCGGGCGGCTGTAAGGATTAAGTGATGAATGCATTTGAAGGACTGAGAACAGTACCTGGGACCTAGTTAGAGCTCAAGAAAGCAAGGCTGCATGGTCATTTGTTTTCAGGTGAAACACACACAGCGGTCATGCTGTATGAGGGCATATGCCACATGCAATAACCCGACTGCAAGTGACGGTATGTCTCCTGCGTGTGCTGCCGCTGTGCCCGTGAGCACAGGCCTCACTCCTCTGCCCCTGACCACTTCGTTTTGCCCAGAGTGAGTCGTCTGGCTCCGGTTCAGTTACCAGGTCCAAACAATCTCCCAAAAGATTAGTTGTGTTACCTTCTGCTCAAACACCTTCGATGACTCCCCTTTGTCTACATTCCAGGATCTCACTTAAATCCGTTTATGTCTCTGAAAGCCCCATCCCAGTGGCCTTAAAATCTAATCGATGAGCAAGACTGCTGATCTAATAAACGTTTGTCATGGGTGTGCTGGGAAGCTCACGGTGGAGACACACCCACTGGCAGGCGTGAATGCCCGACAGAGCCAGACTGACATGAGGCTGGGGGGGAAGAGAAGGAGCCTGACTGTAGCCCAGAGACCTGGTTTCCCGGGCCAGTCCTGGCACCAAGCAGCTGTGGGATCTCTGCTGAATTGTTAAACCATTCGAGGTTGCTGTTTCTTTCCTTAACATGTGAAAATTGGTTAAGACAACTTTTAAAATTTCTCCATTAATTAGTAGTAACAATAATGTAAGTAACATAGATGTTTATTGAGCACTTACTAGCTGCCAACCACTGTTATTTGTTTGGTTTGCATAACCCAAATTCACCCTTAAAATAATCTTATGAAGGAAGTAAAACTGATACTATCTGCATAAGATATGATTGTCGGCATTTAAAAATTCCCCAAGTTTTCAAATTATACATGTTAGCGAATATATAAAATTTACATGCATACAAGAACTAGGAAATATACTCAAAGAGACACTATTTATAATTGTTTCAGAAAATTGATAGATTTCCTGAGAATAAATCTAACAATAGGTATACAAGACCTCTAAAAGGAAAAGTACCAAACTTTATTAAGATATATTAAAGAAAACCTAAATAAATGGAGAGATATACCATGTTCATGGGTAATATGATTTAGTATTGTAATGTGAGCTATACAATGAGTATAATTCCTATCAAATTCCCAATACGTTTCATTAATAGAACCTGAAAAGATGATTCTAAACTTATTTGAAAGAGTCAAGGACAAAAATAGCCAAGCTGTTTCTGTAAAAGAAGTGAGGGGAACTGACCTTACCAGAAATCTGGACTTTTGTGTAGTTGGAGCAATTAGAACACTGTAGTAGTAGTTTGTGGACTGAAAAAAATTAACCATAGAATATGAATGAGATTCCAGAAGAAGACTCATGCATCACAGAAGATAAAGGCGGTCAGTGAGGAGAGCAGAGACTGTTCAATAAACAGAGCTGGAAAAAAATAGTTACCCATGTGGGGAAATAAGGCTATCTCTTTCAAACTATATCTTGAAAATAACCCCAGCTAGCTAAAGATTTTCTTAGACAAGCACATTAAACTGATTTATTATAAAATGATAAACTTAACTATATCAAAATCAAGAACTTTTGTTCACCAAGAGAAGCCTTTAAAAAGTGAAAACATAGGCTAGAAACTAGAATAAGATATTTGTAATATGAACTACAAAGCTTTCGTATCAATAATATACATAATACTCTACAGATCAATTTTTTTAAAAGCACAAACGACCCAGGGCAATAATGAGGGAAAGACACCAAGAAGTATTTCACAGAAGAGGAAAATATATGCCCAATAAATTTATGAAGAAATTCACAAAGAAAGATGCAAATCAAGATCACAATGAGATAACATTTTACACCCACTCAGTTAGCAGAAAGTAAAATGTCTAACACTAGGAAGCGCTGGGGAAGATGAATCACATGGCATCATGGATTGGTGCAAATTCTTTAGAAAGGGGCTTGACATTTTCTCCTAAAGTTGTACTTTCTCATGGTCTCTGTCATGATTTCCTTTCAAGATTCATAGCCAAGAAGAACTCTTACACTTATATAACCGCAGACATGCGTGAGTATGATTATATAGCCCTGCTCTAGCTAGCACTGGACCTTCCTTTCCCCATACCCCTCGGTGAGACAGTGGCTGACTTCATTGTGGTATATTCACCCTCTGTGATGCGGCAGTCAGAACAAGTGAATTATAGTGACACTAGAGGCCCGATGCATGAAATTTGTGCAAGAGTAGGCCTTCCTTCCCCTGGCTGCTGGCACTGGCTTCCCTCTGGCACCCAGGACCCGGGCTTCCCTCGCAGCCCCAGCTTTGCCCGGAAGGTCGTCCGGAAGGATGTCCAGTCTAATTAGCATATTATGCTTTTATTATTATAGACTAGAGGCCCAGTGCATGAAAATTTGTGCAAGAGTAGGCCTTCCTTCCCGCTGGCTGCCAGCACCGGTTTCCCTCCGGCACCCGGGACCCAGGCTGGCTCCCTCCCCAACCCGGCTCCGGCTTCATCAGGAACAACATCTGGAATGACGTCTGGAAGACATCTGGTCTAATTACCATATTACCCTTTTATTATTATAGAGTGGATGGATCCCAGCAATATAACATTAATTGAAAAAAGTAAGTCCCTAAAAGTTACATGTAGTATATCATTGCTACAAAGTTAAAGATCTATCTATCTATCTTCTGAATTGGAAAGGAGGGATGAATGAGATATTGGGGACTATATGGTGAGAAATATAATTTACTGTCCTAGCCAGAGCTTTCATTTTGGGTGGTAGATCCACGGGTGTTCATTAACTAGTTACATAGCTAAGTAAATGACAAAGACAGCCACACAGAGATCAGAGGTGGAGACTGTTAAACCCAGAATGGCTTTTAATCGACTTTTTGAGCTCTGCGGGATGGGCAGTGGGGTAGCCTATGGAGTAAGTGCTGTTACCGTCTGCATGTTACAGGCCAGGAAACGGAGGTTCAGGCTGGTTAAGCAACTTGCCCCAGCCCACAGAGCTAATAACTAGTAGAGCAGGGTCCCAAAGCCAGGGCATTGATGACACCCACGCCGTCAATATGCAGCCACGAGTCCACGTGCTTCTATGTGGCCTGTTCGGGAGAAGAAGCCCCATGGTGTCCACACTGCGGTCACTTATTCCCACATCAGTTCTCGGGGTAATTCCTTTGCCATCATGACCTGGAGGTCTTGGAACTCCCATGAGCTGATATCTCCGTCCCCACCCACCTCCACCCACTCAGTATCTTCCGGCACCTTTTCAAATCATTTTCATATTTTTCTGAGCAGTTTCATTTTCTAGGCCTGTTACTTCAGAACTCATTCATCGCACATGTGAAAGAAGTGCCACTCTACACTGACTAAGCATATGAGTAAGTTTGTGTTTTAATAGCACCATGTAGGAGGTTTCTTTATAAATGAACGGGAAGGTGGGGGATGCTTGCAACTGCCCACAGACAGGAGCTAAAACCTGTAAAAGCATGCTAACGCGGAATTACTCTTCAGTTTCAGGGCAAGCTCTGTTTCATAATATCTTTTGCAAGAAATAAAAAAACAACAAGTAACCTTTCACACGGCAGCTCTTAGCAATGCCTACTGTCCCGTGAGGGGAGCTTTGTGGACCACATACACAGACGGCGAATTTACCGGGAGCCCATCTGGCTGAAATGCTTGTGCAGCAGAAACGCTCATCTCCACTGGGAGGGGCCCGTCTGGGCCGAAGCACCATTACTTCACTTTGCCTTGAGCTGCAACATTCCAAAATGAGCTTCAAGGAGATTGGGCCGTGATTGGACTGTGTGCAGCATGGTCCTGGGAAGCACTGGCCGGGTCCTGGCTGGCACGCTCAGCCCACCCGGTCCCTGCGTTTGAATTTCTAGAGGGCAGCACTGGGGGGGGGGGCTGCTGTGCACAGGTGTATGGACAGGACGGCCTCCAGCGTAGGTGGGGGTGGGTGTGCTGGAGGGGAGTTAACTCCCCACCTAAGGGGGTGCTCCTGGGGCATCCTGTAGCCTTAGGAAGGTCCCCAGCTCCTTTTTCCAAGAGATGGCATCCCTCTCCCAGAGATGGGGCAGGGTCTCCAGTCGCTGGCCCCTCCTGGTAGAGAGCGGACTCACCACTTTGCAAAGACTTCAATATCCACGTCTCGCTCTTAGACGTTCCCGGCCACAGGGACCCAGACGTCCTCCATCCCCAGCTGATGGTGTCTGTCCTGGCAGGGGGCCTACGGCCAGGGCTGTCTGAGTCTCCCAGACAACCCCAGTGCTGGGGGCTGTGCCTTGGCTCCTCCAGGGCCTCCTCCCCACCCTTCTCCTTTCTCCTGCCGACCTGCCTGCCCCTCTCCCTGAGCTTCCGCAGGCCACCAGGCCAGGGGCTGCACAGGTGGGGGCCATGCCAGGGGTGGGGGAGGCACGGCCACGCTGTCCACAGTCTCAGGGGGAACCAGGTAGGGGTCTCCAGCCCAGAGCAGCCTCTATGGGGAAGGGGGGGTTTCCTAAGGAGCCCTTCCCTGTTGTGAAGTGAATGCTGTGCCCCCCAATTCAGATGCCAAAGCCCTAACCCCCAAGATGGGACTGGGAGATTGGGGCCTTTGGGGTGATTAGGTTTAGATGAGGACATGAGGCTGAAGCCCCAGGATGGGATTGGTCCCTCAGAAGAAGAGGAAGAGGCCAAGGGTGACCCCCTGTGTCATGTGAGGACACAGCAGGAAGTGGCCACCTCCTGGCCACTGTGAGAAGCCCATGTCCTCCCTGTTGAGGCTGCCCAGGGCTTTGGTAGAGCAGCCTGCGTGGCCTGAGATGTGGGACGCACCCCTGTCCCCATGGACTGAGCCGCGTGGCTCTGGAAGAGGGCTGTGCACTCGGCCAGGGGGGCCAAGCGGGAGGCGCATGCTGCCCAGGTGACCGCCCAGAGGCGCTCCGGGAGGCTGGCGTGGGACGGGCCTGACCTGGCGTCGCGGGATTTCCCACAGACCTCCTTCTTGCTCTGTCGGTGGGCCTGGTTCCCACGGCTTCAGAATGTACCATTTGTTTCTCAAAGATTCTAACACGGCAAGTGACTGCACAGCCATCAGCAAAATCGCACGAGGCACAAAGCATGTGGACAGTGTGGATCCCTGCAGAGAGCGAGGACCGTGGCACCTGCCACCTGCCCAGCTGCTGGCACAGAGAACAGTCACTCACCAACCTCCCCACCCCCCACAACCTCAACTTTGAAATTACGTAAACTTTGTTTTCAAATAGAGGAACTTTGTGTTATTCTAAAAGTTTCCAACCTCCCCCCTCCCGACCCCCACCCCCATTCCAGTTGCTGTAACACTGACTGAACTGGTTAGGCGGGGGCTGCCCTGCGTTGCTGTTGCAAGATCCGCAAAAACAGGTGCTGTGGCCCCTCACCAACCACAGTGACAGCAAGCCAGGGGGCCCCACTGGCAGTCTCACCCCAAAAGGCTGCCGGCCCTACCAGGCCTCAGGGTGTCTAGGCAAACCCGTAGGCCCAACCCACTCAAGCCAGAACAGTGAGATTTCGCTGAGTGGGCCGCGGAGTTTGAGAGTTGCAGCCGACACATGGAACAGTCCCCGGTTTGCTGCCTCTTGGACCCCCCTGTTCAGAATGTGCAGCCCTGGTCCCGAGCGCCCTCAGCTGTGAGGGCTTCCTGCCTGGAGTTGCCCCCTGCCCCCATGAACCTGACCATGAGCGCAGGGCCCGCCAGCCCCTCCGCCTGCCCCGGCACTCTGGAGGGTGAGCGCACCGGTGCATCACTTGCTGCTGGTGCTGCACCCGCCACCTGGCCAGGTTTAGCTGCGGACATACCAGGCATTTGGTCAGGAGACCCTCCACCACCCTGGGCAGTAACCAGTGATGGCCTCCCAGGCCTAGCCTTGTACCCACCAGGCAAAAGCTATAGGATGGGTCCTGCCTGGTCACCTTCTTCTTGAATCTTCCCCATCACATTCCAAAAGCAACTCCAATGTTGACCTCCCTTGGCTCCAGGCCCCTGAGGTTTCATCTTCTTCTTTGTTTAATTCTCTTCATCTGCATTTTCCCTCTAAAACTTTCTGCAAACAACTGGCAGAGACACTCTTTGGTGTGATTGGCACCAGGTCAGGAGGCGGCTCTCCAGCTCCACGAGCCAGGCTGGCTGGGATCAGGTGCTGGGCTGCAGCCCTGACAACCTCACCAGGTGGGACATACGTAAATGAGTCCCCGGTGCCACTGGATGCTCACATGGCCCCGCTGGGCCAGGTTGCCTCTGCATCAGAGACCTGCTGACCGCTCCGGGGCAGAGGGACCAGAAGGCTGGCAGCTGGATTCAGGGTGCAGGAGCCTGGGGTGGGGGAGGTGGTGATGTTTGTGGGGGAGAGGGGAAGAAAGGAGGAGAGGATGCAGGAGAGAGGAGAGCAGGGGGCGTGGAGTGAGGGAGGTGGGGGTGTGGTTTTTGAAGAAAACACTTGAGAACTAGAGCCAGCGGGGTGTCCAGGAAATGCCTGGGAGGGGGAGACCTGGCCGCCCCTGGTCACTCACAGGTGAGGTGATGATCGGGTCCTAGGAGACCTTGGCAGGCCTGGGCTAGGGCACAGCAATCCTCCACAGCCCCCTGAGCCAGGGTCTGTCCCCACGGGGAAGTGTCCCTTCATCGAGGCAACTACAGCTTAGCCCTTACAGCACGTGCCCATTTTAGAATCTTCCGGATAAAACCTATCCTGCCCGTGGAGGGAAAGCACGTGCAACCTTCCCCGTAACCTACAAAACGTGTCCTTCCATCTGTCAGCGCCGTGTGCCACATGTTATTTTTCCCAAGATCGTGAAGATCTCTGGGCACCAATGAATGAATGAAAAGGAATATTATACATCAGTGCTTTCCTTAAAAGTTCTGCTATTGAACTTAAAAAAAAAGAAAACATTGCAAATGACGGTGTTTCTCTGAGGAGCAGGAAAGTTTCCTGCAACCCAGGGAGGGGCCCTGGGAGTGCTCACTGGCAGGCATGGGGCTCACCAGGGCTGGTGGAGAAATGGGACTGGGACCAGAGGGGGCGGGGCTTGGGGAAGAAGACGAGCTCCGACGACGACTGACGGCACAGCAAGCCACACGGGACCAGCCTCTCACAGCGCTGGACACAGAGCGGGAGACTCAGTCGGTGACCTCAGAGAGGCCTGGCCACCTGCTCTGTCCAGCCCCTTGCCAGGCATCATTCTTTTTTATCTCTTGTCACATCTGAAATTATATCACTACTGTTCACTTACTGCCTCCTCCCCCTCCTGCAACCTGAGTTCAGAGGTAACAGAGCTTCCACGCTCACACAGACGCTGCACAGGGCTTGTCCCCACGGCGCACAGTTCACTGTCCCACAGATCAAAAGGCGAACCGCCAGCAGGGCACAGGGGACAGTGCTCTGCAGTAAAATAGCTACGAAGTGGTGAGCTTAGAGTTCAGTACCACTCCTTGCCTTTGCTTTTGATATAATTTATTTAATTGAAGGTTGATATAATTTTTTAAAATATATTTTATTGATTTTTTACAGAGAGGAAGGGAAAGGGATAGAGAGTTAGAAACATCGATGAGAGAGAAACATCGATCAGCTGCCTCCTGCACACCCCCTACTGGGGAAGTGCCCGCAACCAAGGTACATGCCCTTGACCGGAATCGAACCCGGGACCCTTCAGTCCATAGGCTGACGCTCTAGCCACTGAGCCAAACCGGTCAGGGCAAGGTTGGTACAATTTTTAACAATGACTGTGATTAATAACCCGCTCACAAGATTCCTGAAGATCTTATAGCCGCCTCAGGCAAGCCAACTGGGCAGCTCCCTGCCCCTCTGCACCTGAGTGGCCCTGGAGGGGGAGCAGGGCAGGCCAGGGCTCAGCCTGCCCACGTGGGCCTGGCAAGAGGCTGACAGAGGCTTCTGATAAAACCCATCCTGCCCACATGAGTCAGGGGGGCTCACAGGCTCAGGCTCAGGGGCTCCCCAAGGAAGCGGGCGCTGAGAGTCTAGGAAAGCCCGCTCACTGCTAACCCCGCTAGACAGCTCCTGTTCCCACTGCCCTTGAGAAAAGGAGGCAGGCTGGCCCGCAGGCCCCTCGGGAATTTCTGGGATGTCACTGCCATGAAAGAATCTGACTGTGGGAATACGCGGAGGGCAGCAGCCAGAGCCCAAGAGCTGGGGGAGGGGGGGGGCGGGGGGAGGAGGAGCAGCAGAACCTACTGGACAGACTGAACGAGGCAGTCACTCTGGCCCCACTGCCCCCAGAGCCACCATCACCCTCCTCGCCCTGAACAAGGGACCCAGGAATTCCTGACGGCTGAGCATGTCGCTGTGAGATGGAGAAGGAGGGTGCCTGGTGCTGCACCCTGGCTCCCCCACATCATGGGCTGGACTTTGCAGCAGCACCCCCTTTTGAACCAGGAGACCCCAAGCTCCTCTGTTTTCTCAAAGACCAGCCCATGTCTTCTCGCCTCTCTGCAAGCCCACCTTTTAAGGTTCCAGGCCTAAAGCCAACAGCAATCAGAAAAGGACCCACAACAAGGCTCACAGACATCGGTCTGGGAAAGGGCCCCAGAGGGCGGGGCCTTGCCCTCCATCCGCTGTGAGACTCATGGGTCCTGGAGGCCGAGGTGGGTCCTCTCAGAGAACCGGCTCAGATCCTCACACAGCGGCGCCCAGCAGAGAAGGTGGTGGCGAGGCTGAGACAAACAGATGCCTGGCACCGAGGCACAGGGGGCTCCAGGTGAAACGCAGGATGCTCAGTTAAGTTTGAATTTCAGACAAACAGCAAATGATTCCTGGTATAAACATGTGCCAGACATTGTGTGGGCATATTTATAGTAAAAAATTACTCATTTTTCAT